ACACTCCTCCAGATCAGCTGCCTGTGGGTGCTTTCAACCTGGCCGCAGCTCTAACCTTATGACTGGAGTTCTCCCCAATTACAATGAGGGGACTTTGCCTTATACCTACAATGTGTGCATTGCCTCGCAGTCAGCTAAGACAGAGTTTAATTTTCTCAATGTGACTCCGGAAGTTGCTCCTCAGGACCTCCTCTGCGGCTGCGACGACTCTTGGGTACCAGGTACTCTAGGAGACACTGAGGTTCCGTTTGTCTCGGATTCTGTCCCAAAGGTGAGCTTCAATTTAACTTGGTTTTCTACTTGGGGTTTCAGTGTTTCTTAATAAATCACTAAGTTGGTTTTGGTGGTTTCATTGCCTATATCATTGTCTTGCAAGTCAGTCTTGAACAGTGGTCTGCCTTAAGCACGTTAACCTTATCCAACCACGCCTTCAAGAAAAGGTTCTGTCTCAGGTGTGAGGTTTATTTGTTCACAATTAAAAGTGTTCACAGCATGCGATGCTTGTTTTTCTTCTCCCTTACAGTCCTCTCCAACCCACAAAGCTCATTCCTGTTGGAAACTTGAGAGATTCTTTTCCTTTCAGGTCTCTAATACTCAAGTTTTTGTTCTACTTCCTCTTAGACTCAGTGATTCAGCATAAACACGTCCTTTTCTTACTGGTTTGTGAGAACTGGCTAGGAAAAAAACACATTACTCAAGGTTGTGGCTTGTTAACAAAGCATGTTGGGTAGGGCATTATTCGACTGACTTGTTGACAAACATTGTGAGGTTTTTTTCAAGCAGAATGCCTTGTGGTTCCTGGAAGTTTATTCTAATTTTGGGTTTCATTTTATGTGTGTGAGTGTTTTGCCTACATGTGTGTCTGTGGACCAGTGTACAGAGTACCAGGGTCCTGGTAACCATAGAGACTAGAAGAATGCAACTGGAACTGGAGTTGCAGTTGGTTGTGAGGCAATATGTAGGTGCTGTGGTTCTCAGGAAGAGCAGCCGTTACTCTAAACTGTAAGCCATCTTTCCATCAGCCCCAAGGTTTCTTCTTAAAGGATGAGCAACACGTGATGTCTGAAGTGTCTATTATGAAGAGTCAATTTTATCAATAAATTTATTAATAAAATCATCCTCATGCATTTTAATAAATTGCTCTCAAGAAAAAGTACACATCAAGGAAAGTTTTGCAACCTATGCTTATGTCAATTTCTACAAAAATATCTAAGACTGTATGGTTTGTATTACTTACTAGTTTATTTGTGTGCTTACTTACTGATGGTTCTAGGGATCAGATCCAGAGTCTCACACTTCCACAGCAAGCACTCTGCCTACCGGACCATGTCCCAAGACCTAGATTATAAAATTATAGGTATCCAATTAAAATCTTTGTCTATTGATGAGTTATTAAGCAACTTTGCTTTTCTCAAAAGAGGAGCTTTCTGAACTGCCTTTTTTTCTGCCATAACTTTTTTTTTAATCTGTTATCCTTCAAGGGTGATGGCATTAAATATCTGTCTTAAAACAAATAGGCCACTCACTACTTGTCAATCAAAATACCTATGATTTCCTCCATGGGAGATAATGATGCCCTGTCTCCTTTGTCCACTATACTGGTTGCTACTAAGATCCCATCAGAGTAAAATGTCTACATGTATTTTGAATAGTAGTGGGAAGTCATAATAATACAGAAAACCCAACTCAGACTTTCTGTCCGAGACAGGGAACCTGTTTATATTTCATAGCCTTAGGCTGGGGTCCAGGAAACTTTCTCAAAGACTTCACAAGTCTACTGTCTGTCTTTCTGCATATGACATTACATATGGGTCACTCTGCAAAGATACACTGAGAGCTGGATTTGTTTCCTTGGCACACTAATGTACTATTAGGCAGATGTTCATAAGCCTATCTTGATAAAAAAAAAATGAAGTCTTGACACCAACAAAGATAAGAATTTCAATTTCTTGGTTAAACAAACTTGATATGGATAAGACATAAAGGACTCAATGGTACATAAAATCAAACGTTTCTGGAGAAGTGAAAAAGCTAATTATATTGATCTCAGGGTATGAGAGTCTTATTGCCAGAATTTTAAAACTTAATTAAATATAAACACTGCTATACAACAGTACATTAAGTATACAGCAAAAACCTTGGAAATAAAAATAAACTCGGAGTAAAAAAAGAATTGGTGTAGTAACTGGTTAGGACTCTAAGCGTCGCTGTTCACCAGACTGGGAAAGAAGCAGTCATAGAAACTCCCAGCTTCCTCTGCACCAAAGACCAGACAAGCTCTTGGAGAAAGCCACCATCCTAAGTCCCGCTCTCCTCAGCTTTAGAGAAATAAGGAAACAGTAGGCTAAACCAGGACTAAGAAGAAAGCGAAGAAAGAAAAGACAATGACGGACCCACCGAGGCACTGGACCTGCAACAACCTGCTGACGTTTTTCATGCTGCTGGGGACGCTGTGCGCGACAGGAAAAGGGCAGATCCGCTACTCTGTACGGGAGGAGCAGGACAAAGGCTCCTTCGTGGGCAACATCTCCAAGGACCTGGGGCTGGAGCCCCGCGAGCTGGCGGAGCGCGGAGTCCGCATCATCTCCAGAGGTAGGTCGCAGCTTTTCTCTCTGAATCCGCGAGGTGGCAGCTTGGTCACCGCAGGCAGGATAGACCGGGAGGAGCTGTGCGCTCAGAGCGCGCCCTGTGTCGTGAATTTTAACATCTTGGTTGAGAATAAAATGAAAATTTATGAAGTGGAAGTGGAAATCCTTGATATTAATGATAACTTCCCCCGGTTCCGCGATGAGGAGTTAAAAGTAAAAGTTAATGAAAACGCAGCTGCAGGAACACGTTTGGTGCTCCCCTTCGCGAGAGATGGGGATGTGGGTGTGAATTCCCTCCAGGGTTACCGGCTCAGCTCCAACCCGCACTTCTTTCTGGACGTGAAGAGCGGATCTGACGGGCAAAAACATCCAGAGTTGGTGTTGGAACAGCCCCTAGACCGTGAGAAGGAGTCTGCTCACGACCTGATCCTCACAGCTTTGGATGGCGGAAACCCAGTACATTCTAGCACCGTCCATATCAGCGTGACCGTCCTTGATGCAAACGATAACGCACCCCTATTCACCCAAAGCGAATATAGAGTGAGTGTTCCAGAGAACACACCTGTGGGCACTAGACTGCTCACGCTCACCGCCACGGATGCAGACGAGGGAATCAACGCGAAGTTGACCTTCTCTTTCCGCAACGAAGAAGATAAAATTTCTGAAACTTTCCAACTCGATTCTAATCTGGGGGAAATCTCAACTATTCAATCCTTGGACTACGAAGAATCCAGATTCTATATCATGGAAGTGGTAGCCCAGGACGGGGGCGCTCTTCTTGCCAGCGCTAAGGTGTTGGTCACAGTCCAGGACGTGAATGACAATGCCCCAGAAGTGATACTCACTTCCCTCACCAGTTCCGTTTCTGAAGACTGTCTACCCGGAACCATAATTGCGCTTTTCAGCGTACATGATGCTGATTCTGGGGAGAATGGAGAGATTTCGTGTTCTATTCCCAAGAACCTGCCCTTCAAACTGGAAAAGTCCGTTAATAATTACTATCACCTACTAACAACAGGAGCACTGGATAGAGAACAGACTTCAGATTATAACATCACAGTAACCGTTGTTGACCGTGGAACTCCTCCCCTGTCTACAGAAAACCACATCTCTCTGAAAGTAGCTGACATAAATGACAACCCACCCACCTTCTCTCGTCCCTCCTATTCCACTTCCATCTCAGAAAATAACCCCAGAGGTGTCTCCATTTTTTCGGTGAATGCCTACGACGCTGACAGTGGTGATAATGCCCGGGTCACTTACTCCCTGGCTGAATATACATTTCAAGAAGTACCTGTGTCCTCCTATGTCTCCATTAACTCTGACACTGGTGTCCTGTATGCATTGCAATCCTTTGACTATGAGCACTTGAGAGACCTGCAGCTCCTGGTGACAGCTAAGGACAGTGGGAATCCTCCACTCAGCAGCAACGTGTCACTGAGCTTATTTGTACTGGACCAGAATGACAACACTCCTGAGATTCTGTACCCAGCTATTCCTACTGATGGCTCCACAGGTGTGGAACTGGCACCCCGCTCTGCAGAGCCTGGATACCTAGTAACCAAAGTGGTGGCAGTGGACAAAGATTCGGGACAGAACGCCTGGTTGTCCTACCGTCTGCTCAAGGCCAGCGAGCCAGGACTCTTCTCAATAGGGCTTCACACAGGCGAGGTGCGCACAGCAAGGGCTCTATTGGATAGAGATGTGCTCAAGCAGAGCCTGGTGGTAGCTGTCCAGGACCATGGCCAGCCCCGTCTCTCAGCCACTGTCACACTCACCATCGCTGTAGGGGATAGCATCCCAGATGTACTGACTGACTTAGGCAACCACAACACACCAGCAGAGCCCCAGGATTCAGACCTCACACTCTACCTAGTGGTGTCGGTGGCAGTGGTCTCCTGTGTCTTTCTGGGATTTGTTACCGTGCTGTTGGCCCTCAGGCTGAGGCACTGGCACATGTCACGCCTGCTTCAGACATCCACGGGCAGATTGGCCAACGTGCCCGCTTCCCATTTTGTGGGCATCGATGGGGTACAGGCTTACCTGCAGACCTATTCCCATGAAATCTCTCTCACTACAGACTCCAAAAACAGCCACCTGATCTTCCCCCATCCCAATTATGCTGACAGGCTCATTAGTGAAGAGAGCTGTGAAAAGAGTGAGCCTCTTCTGATACCTGATAATATACACACAAACGAGGAAGAGCCCGGAGCTGCCCAGGTTAGTTTTCTCTTTCACTAAAAGCTGGAACGTTTCCTCCATTTGTTTTCTCACTTGTTTTTCTGGTAGAGTCAAAATCGGATAGTTGTATAGTGGGTCATCATTTGCTGCATTGGAGCTTAACTCTAGGATGTTCAATGATAGATACTTTTTTGAATTATATTTGCAACTGAATATCTTTTCTGTTTGTGTGGATATTTTAGAAAATCTGACAGGTTTACCTTAAAAGAAAGTGATAAACATAAT